TTCACAAACCCTGCCCTTCAGAACTGACGGGGCAAGGGACGAATAGACACATCCAGGGAAACAAAGCGAGCAACGGGGTGGCCTTGGAAGACCTCTTCGGGCCATCCCTGGGTGCCGCGTGGGGGCGAGGGGAGGAGGAGGAGGAGGAGGAGGAGGAGGAGGAGGAGGAGGAGGAGGAGGAGGAGGAGGAGGAGGAGGAGGAGGAGGAGGAGGAGGAGGAGGACGAGGAGGACGAGGAGGAGGAGGAGGACGAAAACGCGGATGAGGACGAGGACGAGGAGGACGAGGACGCGGATGAGGACGACGCGGACGAGGACTCATGGAACCATCTGGAGGTATTCTTGCGGCTGCTGCTGCTGCTGCTGCTGCTGCTGCTGGTGCTCTCTGGGGGTTTTGGGGGCCTTCTTGGGACCCTCTTGGTAACCCTGGAAGGCTTCTTGGGATCATCTTGGGGGCCATCGATTCCAGGATGGGGGGGGTCTCCAACTCAGCTCCCCCCATCAGGAGCTGGCAAACCGCTTCTTGGGGCTATTTTGGGGCGCTTTTGGGTGCTCCTGGAGCGGTCTCGGGGCCGTTTGGAGCGTCTTTGGAGCCATCTTGAGCCAGCTTGAGCTATCTGAGCCATCTTGGAGGTCATTTTAGGTTCTCTGAGGCCGCTCGGGGGCTTCTTGGGTGCCTCTCGGGTGCCTGTTGGGGCCCTCTTGGGACCCTCTTGGGGCCCTCTTGTGGCTCTCTTGGGGTTCTCTTGGGAGCCCTGGAGCGCCTCCCGGGGCCATCTTCGAGGTTATCGATCAAAGGAGGGAGGTTCCCGATCGAGGCCCCGCCCCTCAGGGGCCACGATCCTCGTGAGGGGTGTCAGAAATTGGCCCTCCCAGGGGCCGATTTTGGACGCTCCAGCCGATCGCGGCCCCTCCCGTCCAGGTCCAGGGGAAGGGGTAGGAGGAGGGGTCAAGACACCCCCTAGATAGCAAGTCGTCTAGCTCACTCCCACCCGCCCTCCCAACACATAAGTAACACCCGAGCCTGAGCATGTTCAGCGGTCGTCTTTGGATGGGCAGCTATTGGGAACCAAGACCGACCCCATGTGCGCGACGCTTGGGCGATATGCGCCACGCGTGCCAGGTGCGCCACGCGCGCCAGGCACCCCTGGGGCCTGAGCGTGCCAGGCACGCCTGGTGCGCCAGATGCGCCACGTGCTCCGCGTGCGCCAGGTGTGCCGCACACTCCAGCTGCGCCAGGTGCGGCACTTTCGGGGCACGTGCAGAGTGTATCAGGTGCGCCTGCACACGAGACAGCACACATCGGGAAACATGTCGGCCCCCACCAGCCTTGTCGAAAACCAATGCCCATCATTGTGTCTGGTGGGCCTGCGCACAGCAGGCCATACGCCACCGCACCCGCCGTTCCTGTCAAAAACCACTAGACAGTGATCGCGGGGAGGCCGCGCAGTATCCAGATTTAGTCGCGAGGTGCATTTGGTACTGCTTTTTGCTATGGATGGTAGCCCCGCGCACAGCAGGCAACATGCTGACACCCCCGCCGTCCCTGCCATAAACAATACAGAGTGCAGGCGGGCCTCACCAATATGATTCAAGATTTTGCCCCAAAGTGTACCTGGTATTGTTTGTTGACAGGGATGGTGAGGGGGCGCATCGGGTTGGCCGCGCATGCTCCAAATGTGAAACAGGGTGCGTTTTGTATCGTTTTTGACAGGGATAGTGGGTGTGTGTCCGCATGTTTCCTGGTTGGCCGCCGGTCGCCTGGGGGATGGGGTGTATATAGATAGTGAACAGTGATAAACCCCTCCCCGAAGGGGAAAACGGTTTTTAGAAGAGGAAATAATGCCATCGTTAGACCACCTGCGCCCAGAGGGCTGGTGGGATTGTGAGTGCTACCCTACCCAAGTCTGCGCGAGGCCCTGGAGAATCGTCTTCAGCGTCACCCCAGAGCCAAGAGCAGCACACAGTGTCAATGCAAACGCTCGGAGCCGATACGATTATGCATCAATCTGGTAACACGGTGGTACTTCAACCCACACATTCTCGATTCACGTCGTTCTTGAAGGTGGGCGTGAAGCAGCCCAACAGGCCACGACAGAAGGCATTCGAGCATTCGCCAGACGAAGTCCGCCGCCATGGCCAGATGAAGCTGGGACGCTCGCCCAGTGAGAAGTGTGCACATGTGTGCACAGCGCCTCGGCCAACACCACCGCTCCGGGGACCACACGCGGTGTCCTCGCAGCCTGGGTTAACAGGCCAAAAGCGCCCACGCCGCCCGCCGAACAGCAGGCCAGGCATTGGGTGGGCCTGTTCGTCGGCCCGCGGCACCTCGGCCAGCTGACCACGCAGAAGCAGGCCAGATCTGCGTATGGCCGTGCTCGACCAGGTCAAAGTTCGCCCAGACGAGGTTTCGGGAGACATCGTCTACATGAAGAGCCCGCCATGGCAACCGAGCGTGCTCGAATGCAGGACGGGGCAGGGAGAGGCCGCGCCCAGACGGCGCATCGGCAGGTCCTGGCATAATCCAGAGGCCCAGAGGGAGGGAGCCCATGCGAGAAGACGTCCAGGCCGAATGCAGGCGCGCCGAAGCGCAGCCACTGCAAGCTGCAGCAGTGCTCCAGTGCAGCCTGGAGCACTCGCCACGCGGCAGCCTCACCGCCACAGCAGCTAGTGCGTCTCAGAGGAGAGGCAGCGCACAGGCCAGGAGCACTCTCCGCCGCCTCTCGTGCTCGACCTGCCGGGGCCGCGCTCCGCGAGCCGCTCCCGCCGCCCTCGACACCCCTCGGACGAGCCCAGAGGCCGCCGTGGCCGGCGAACTCGTTGGCCGCTCTCGTCCCTTGCTGTCGTGGTGTCTCCTGAAGGGGGGGAGTCGACGAGAAGGCTCTCCGGGAGGCCAGCGGCGCCGGAAGAGCTTCGGGAGGCTCGAGCCCCGAGCCCCGAGCCCCGAGCCCCGAGCCTCGGCCCTCGAGCCTCGGCCTCGAGCCTGCCCAGTGGTTCCCGCAGGCCCCCCTGCCCCACGACCCCTGCCGCCGAGACTTCTCGCGGCGTTGGCCCCCCGGGTTCCGAGGCCTGGACCCCTTCGCTGGGGGCCAGTTTTCCGTCCCGGGCCGTTTCTTGATGGCCCTGGAGCCAAACGAGGCCCCCGCCCCCCTCCCCCCAGACGGGGTGGTGGTCGTCGTGGTCGTCGTCGTCGTCGTGGTCGTCGTGGTCGTCGTGGTCGTCGTGGTCGTCGTCGTCGTCGTCGTCGTCGTCGTCGTCGTCGTCGTCGTCGTCGTGGTCGGGCTCGCCCAGCGAGAATCGCTACAGACCCCCCGCTGTGATCTCTTCACGGCGCGATGGGGGTCCGGGTGATGCCCCGCCCCCCCCCCGGGCGGGAGGGAGGGAGGGGGGGAGGGGGGAGGGAGGGGGGGAGGGGGGGGAGGTGGGGAGGGGGGGAAGGAGGGGGGGAGGGGGGAGGAGGAGGGGGGGGGAGAGGAGGGAGGGGGGGAGGGGGGGAGGGGTCAGGGGAGGGGGGGAGGGGGGAGAGGGGGGGAGGGGGGGAGGGAGGGAGGGAGGGAGGAGCCCTTCCCAGACGTCTGGCGTCCCGCGGCACGGGCCCCGGGCCTCGCGGCCGCGCCCCCCGGGGGCACCAGCTCCTCGGCCCGAGCCGCGCACTTGTGGCGCCCCGGGGAGGCCGCAGGGGCAGACCCCCCCCTGACTCCGGGCCCTACTTTGGCTTCGAAGAGGCCGCGGCGCCCGAGGCGTCCTCCAGAGCCGCCGGGTCTCGGAGATTCTTGAGTTCTCTCCCCCCGAGCTTCTCCCCGTACTGGCTTCGTCTTAGTTCTCGCTCCGCGACGGTCGGGCCGAACGAAAGGGGGGGATAAGGGAAACCCTGACTCCAGATCCGCCCTACTTTGGCTTTTTTTCCAACTGAAAATTGCGTCGGAAATACAGCTATAAGAGGCCGAACAAGTAGGGCGGAGATTGCTGCAACCAACATCAAATAGGGCGGAAGTCCACAGAAACAGCGACAGAAAAGTAGGGCGGAAATTGGCATCAGCGGGGCTTGAAAAGTAAGGCGGAAATTCCAAGCCCCACTTACGAATTTCCCCAAAGGCAGGCTCCCCCCCCTGGAGGCCGGTAAAACGACGCGAAGATCGGGACAACATCGGATCGGGACAACTCGAAATCTCTGAGACTCGGCGGGTTTGGAGGACGTATCGGGCGCCGCGGCCGCTCCAGAGCGTTCCGGAACGCTCTGGGAGCGCTCCGGAACGCTCTGGAGCGATTTATCTGGAGGCCGCAGGGGCAGGCTCCCCCGCTGGAGGCCGAAGGCGGTGCGAGCTCTCCGCGCATCTTCGGGGCTCCTTTCGATCCTCCGACCCGATTCGGTTCGTGGTCGGTGGCTTCCGGTGCCGATGCGACTCGGCGTCGGACTGCCATGTGGGCTCCGACTTGCAATGGCGGCCCACTGAACTGCCGATTTCCGCCGATGCGGCTCTTCCCGCTTCGGCTGCCGATTCCCGCCGACCCGATTGCTTTCGATCGCCGATCCGACGCATCGTGTCGATTCCGGGCTCTCCGCTCTCTGGCCGTCCTCGAGGCTGGGGGCAGGGCCCCGATCTGTTGAGACAAGGGCGCCCTCGAGGGCGCGAAGTTGTTCGCGCTTCCGCGCTTCGCGGTTCGGCTCCTCCTCCTCCTCCTCCTCCTCCTCCTCCTCCTCCTCCTCCTCTCCCCTGGGAGGCGGCGCGAGAGCGCGAAAAGTCATCCGCGCTCTCGCGCCTCGCGCAGCGCGAGGCGCGACGTGGGGAGCCCTCGTCGAGGCGCTGGACGTCTGGGCCCGCGGCCGCGCCCCCCTCTCAGGAGCGGAAAAAGGACGTACATGTACATGAATCCACGCTGGTTTCGAGAGTTCGCATTGCGCAAATGTTCGTATAACGCGGCTGGTCTCGCGGATCGAGGGGCCGTGTTCATGTACATAGCTGGGCGCGTACGTCCTTCGTGGGCTCCCTACCCTCGCAGGGGACGCCGAGGCGTCCGCGGAGGCGCAGATCTTCGCGTTCGACGAGGACGCGGCCGGCGCGGGGCACGCGGCGCCGTGGTGGCGGCCCCGCCCGGCGGGCGACGGCGACGACCAGGGCGGCCCGGGCTGGCCCGCGGGGCTGCGGCTCCTGGACCTCTTTCAGCTCTGAGGCCGCCGAGCCGTGGTGCACCCCAGGCTCTGTCCCAAGGCGTCCTGCGTCGCGGAGAAGTGCACCACCCACCAAACCACCCCAACCCAACCCGACGGTCCAGACTTCTCCTCTGGACCTCTTTCAGCTCTGAGGCCGCCGAGCCGGGGTGCACCCCAGGCTCTGTCCCAAGGCTCGGGGGCGGAAAAGAGGGGGGTGATGACTAGGGGGGGTGGGTATCATGGCGCGGGCCATGATGTTTCCCCAGATTTCATGGCGCCTCTTCTCAGTTCATGACGTCCCTGGCCCCCCCGCGGGGCCGCGCACCTGCCGCCGGTCATGATTTGCACCCCCGCCCTTTGGACACCCCCCTCTTTGCCGCCCCCGACAAGGCGTCCTGCGTCGCGGAGAAGTGCACCACCCACCAAACCACCCCAACCCAACCCGACGGTCCAAACTTATTTTCCAGTGGGGGGGGGTCGGGGAACATTGAATTATCCCGGCAAAGCAACCTAACAGCGATGTGTAGGAGCATATCTGGAAGCATTCCCCTTAAGATTCAGATGAGAATCCAGTTGTAGAATTCTGCTGTTCTCGCAGTCGTAGTCGCATTCGCGATGACAGTCGCAGTGGCAACGGCAGTCACAGTCACAGCCTCAGCCTCAGCCTGCCTCAGCCTCAGCCTCAGCCTGCCTCAGCCTCAGCCTGCCTCAGCCTCAGCCTCAGCCTGCTTCAGCCTCAGCCTCAGTCTGCCTTCAGCCTCGGCCTCAGCCTCAGCCTGCCTCAGCCTCAGTCTGCATCAGCCTCAGCCTCAGCCTCAGCCTGCCTCAGCATCAGCCTGCCTCAGCCTCAGCCTCAGCCTGCCTCAGCCTCAGCCTCAGCCTGCTTCAGCCTCAGCCTCAGTCTGCCTTCAGCCTCGGCCTCAGCCTCAGCCTGCCTCAGCCTCAGCCTGCCTCAGCCTCAGCATCAGCCTGCCTCAGCATTCAAAATGTGGCCCGGGAATGGAGTTCTGGGAACTCGAAGAACACGAAGTGGCCTACAGTTGGCTCCGGGCATTCAAAATCATGCCCAGGAATGGAGTTCTGGGAACTCGAAGACCACGAAGTGGCCTACAGTTGGCTCCGGGCATCCAAAATGTGGCCCGGGAATGGAGTTCTGGGAACTCGAAGAGCACGAAGTGGCCTACAGTTGGCTCCGGGCATCCAAAATGTGGCCCGGGAATGGAGTTCTGGGAAGTCGAAGAGCACGAAGTGGCCTACAGTTGGCTCCGGGCATCCAAAATGTGGCCCGGGAATGGAGTTCTGGGAGGTCGAAGAGCACGAAGTGGCCTACAGTTGGCTCCGGCATTCAAAATGTGGCCCGGGAATGGAGTTCTGGGAGGTCGAAGAGCACGAAGTGTGTGACTGTTGGCTTAAAACGAGCCCGGTTCTGTTCCCGGTTCTCCTCCCCGGCACCCGCCCAGACCCCCCTGAGGAGTCATGATGCTCTCTTTTGACCTACTAGAAACCTATCAGCAAAAGCTGTTAGGTAAATTATCCCGGCAAAGCAACCTAACAGCGATATGTAGAAGCATATCTGAAAGCATTCCCCTTAAGATTCAGATGAAAATCCAGTTGTAGAATTCTGCTGTTCTCGCAGTCGTAGTCGCATTCGCGATGACAGTCGCAGCGGCAACGGCAGTCGCAGTCACAGCCTCAGCCTCAGCCTGCCTCAGCCTCAGCCTCAGCCTGCCTCAGCCTCAGCCTGCCTCAGCCTCAGCCTCAGCCTGCTTCAGCCTCAGCCTCAGTCTGCCTTCAGCCTCGGCCTCAGCCTCAGCCTGCCTCAGCCTCAGCCTGCATCAGCCTCAGCCTCAGCCTCAGCCTGCCTCAGCATCAGCCTGCCTCAGCCTCAGCCTCAGCCTGCCTCAGCCTCAGCCTCAGTCTGCTTCAGCCTCAGCCTCAGTCTGCCTTCAGCCTCGGCCTCAGCCTCAGCCTGCCTCAGCCTCAGCCTGCCTCGGCCGCAGCATCAGCCTGCCTCAGCATTCAAAATGTGGCCCAGGAATGGAGTTCTGGGAACTAGAAGAACACGAAGTGGCCTACAGTTGGCTCCGGGCATTCAAAATCATGCCCAGGAATGGAGTTCTGGGAACTTGAAGAGCACGAAGTGGCCTACAGTTGGCTCCGGGCATCCAAAATGTGGCCCGGGAATGGAGTTCTGGGAAATCGAAGAGCACGAAGTGGCCTACAGTTGGCTCCGGGCATCCAAAATGTGGCCCGGGAATGGAGTTCTGGGAACTCGAAGAGCACGAAGTGGCCTACAGTTGGCTCCGGGCACTCAAAATGTAGCCCGGGAATGGAGTTCTGGGAGGTCGAAGAGCACGAAGTGTGTGACTGTTGACGAAAAACGAGCCCGGCTCTGTTCCCGGTTCTCCAGAATGTGGCCCGGGAATGGAGTTCTGGGAGGTCGAAGAGCACGAAGTGTGTGACTGTTGGCGAAAAGCGAGCCCGGCTCTGTTCCCGGTTCTCCAGAATGTGTCCCGGGAATGGAGTTCTGGGAGGTCGAAGAGCACGAAGTGTGTGACTGTTGGCGAAAAACGATTCCCGGTTCTCCTCCCCGGCACCCGCCCAGACCCCCCTGAGGAGTCATCTGCTGCTCTCTTTTGACACCACTAGAAACCTATCAGCAAACGCTGTTAGGTAAAAACACGTGGAACCCGTACCCCCCCCCCAACCCGAAATTCGGGCCAAGTTCGGGTCTTCGGGTCGGGTTGGGGTGGTCTGGTAGGTAGTCAGAAGTCGAGATGGAGGTCTCCCCTCGTCTTCGAGGGGAGCGAAGAATGACACAAACATGAAAACTCGGAGGTCCGCGCGGATTTCTCGGATCGGCGCTGGCCCCCCCCCCGGCGGTGCCTCTGGCGCCGCCCCCGGCGCGCTCCGCGCGTTGGGGAGGGGGGTCCAGCGTCGATCCAAGAAATCCGCGCGGAGCGCCAAAAGTTTATGTTTATGTCGTCTTTCTTCTCCTAGTTGAGGTTTTTCCTCGTTCTCGGCCTCTCGGGGCTCTCAATGGGCTGGGCTTCGGGGCCGTCAAGGAACAACTCGGGATGAGAAGCCGTTCCCGGGAAGGTGGTCGAGAGGTCGGAAGCCCGAGTCTCGAGCAAGTCGAGACGCTAGATGTCTGGGGTACAGTCTCACCGCTCCCCGTCCCCATTGGGCTATGGTGCCTCGGCCCCAACCATCCCCGCCTCCCAGTGAGGGATGGGCCACGCGAAACCCGGAAAGAGCATTCTGTGTCCCCCCATCTGAGGGGTAGTTCGGCCAGTGTTGCCAAGGCCACGCCAGTGGGGCTAGGGATCGGTAAAGCCCACACCCCCGACGCAATGACTTTTCATAGCCTCGACCCCCCGAGGCCTCGACCCATCCCCTGGGACCGGTCTTTCATCCTGGGCCGCCTTTTGACGGCCCCGAGGCCAGGCATAGGGTCCCCGAGAGGCCGAACATGCTGCAGAAGGAGGCCCTCCGCCTCGAGCTCCTCGCGGCGCCAGGATGTCCGGGACAGGGGATCGGTGCGCCTTGGCTCGCCGTGCGCTCCGCCAGCCCCGCGAGGCTGGGCAGTGGTCAGCCACGCGCAGAGGGGGGTGGGGGGAGGGGGGAGGGCTTCCTAGAAGCACCCCTGCTTCTCAGAAGGCGCGGGCCTCATCTGTAGAGGTGAGGCCAGCGCCCTCTGAGAAGCAGCCTGCTTCTAAGAAGCCCCCCCCCCCCCCCCGCCCCCTTGTGCGCGCCGCCAGAGTGGGTCGGCTCCGCGCCGGGTGGCGGGCGGGCGCGCCCGCGCCCGCCGGCGCCCGCGGCGGGCGCGGGCGCCCCTCTCGCCCCAGGCAGGCCGCCCGGAGGCCCCGGGCTCCTGGTCGCGACCTCCGCGCCCTCTCCCGCGCCCCGCTCGGAGCCCCCGGGCGGTGCGGCGGCCATGCCGTGTGGCTGGTGAGTCGGGGGCTCCTCCCCCTCCTCCTCCTCCTCCTCCTCCTCCTCCTCCTCCTCCTCCTCCTCCTGGACTCCTCCTCCTCCTCCTCCTCCTCCGGGGATGCCTCGAGCGGCTGTGCCCCGCAGGGTCCCCCAGAACCGTGCGGTGGCGGACCGTGCGGGGAGGTCCTTGGGGGAGTCTTCGAGGTCGCCACGCGGTCTCCCACCACACGGTTTTTGGGGCCCCCCAGCCCGCACCCGGACCTCCTCGAGTCATGGCAACATCACGACGGGGGGTTTTTCGCTATTTTCCGCCCCTGGGGGACTTAATGGACCTCGGGGCCGTAACAATCATGATTTCGCATGAGAAATCTGGTCCCAGGGAAGGGGTCGAGACCGTAGGGTGTCGATCTGATCCTCTCAGGCGCTGTGCTCTTCCTGGACCTTGGCCTCCCGGGGCCGTCATCGGGCCCCGGGACCCACAGAGATGGGCCTGGGGCGAACTCCTGGCCTTGGGGAAGGGGTCGGCAGCCCAGGGGGCCGCGGACTGCGCAAGTCACATGGTAGGATGTCAGGGACCCCTGACATCCTCCCAGATGCGGAGTCGGCTCTGCACGACGACGATCTGGCTACGGACGCGTGAGCAACAAACCGTTGTGCTTCACAGCAGCTTGGGCGCGTGAATCGGTTGCGCTGTCTTGTCTTCCATAGGGGACGGGCCTCTCGAGGACCCATGGGGGCGGCTCCGGGATCGCCCAGGAGACAGGCGGCGTGCGAGGGCCCCGGGTAGCATCCCCAGCAGGGCACCACGGGAGGCCCACCGCCGCGCCCGCGAGCCCCAGCACCGACTCCGAGGGGCCCGGTCGGGCCAGGCCCGGCTGGTCCCGGTCTGGTTGGGGGCCTGCTCCCTCGGGTAGCGTGGCCCCCTTCTCCTCTGGGGCCTGGCCCGCGTGATGTGCTGTGCTTCGGCACCCGCCTACACCTCCCTGCCCCCTCCCTTCCCCTTCTCCCGAGAGTCGCCCCCCAGGCCTGATGATGGTGGTGGTGGTGGTGGTGATGACGATGACGATGACGATGACGATGACGATGACGATGACGACGACGACGATGTTGGTGATGATGGTGATGATGTTGCTGCTGCTGCTGTTGATGATGATGCTGATGATGCTGCTGCTGATGATGCTGATGATGATGATGCTGATGATTCTGATGATGAGGCAGATGATGATGATGGTGATGTTGATGATGACGATGATGCTGACGACGATGATGATGATGACGACGATGATGATGATGTTGCTGCTGATGCTGATGATGATGCTTGTGATGATGATGCTGCTGCTGATGATGATGATGATCAATATGAGGATGAGGATGAGGATGAGGATGATGACGATGATGATGATGCTGCTGCTGATGATGATGAACATGAACATGATAATGATGATTCGGATGATGATGCTGCTGCTGATGCTGATGCTGATGCTGCTGATGATGCTGATAATGCTGATGATGATGGTGATGGTGATGGTGATGGCGATGATGATGACGATGATGATGAGGAGGAGGAGGAGGAAGAGGAGGAGGAGGAGGAGGAGGAGGGGGGAGGAGGGAGTAGGAGGAGGGGGGAGGAGGAGGAGGAGGATGGGGATCATGATGATGATACTGGTGATGATGCCCGTGCTGCTGATGATGAGGATGATGCTGCTGCCGCTGCCGCCGCTGCTGCTGATGCTGATGTTGATGTTGATGATGATGAAGATGAGGATGAGGATGATGATGAGGATGAGGATGAGGATGAGGATGAGGATGAGGATGAGGATGAGGATGAGGATGATGATGATGATGATGATGATGATGATGATGATGATGATGATGATGATGATGATGATGATGACGATGCTGAGCGAAACTAATTAGGAGGAGGAGGAGGAGGAGGAGGAGGAGGAGGAGGAGGAGAAGGTCCCGGCATGCAGCGTGCCCGCGCACGCATAGCATCCTGACGTGCCAGCGCGCAGGCGCGCGCTGCTCTAGGTTCTAGATACCCCTGGTGGCAGCTCTGCCATCGGGGGAGTCAGCTCGCCGACGACCGCACCTTCGCCACCCCGCTGGTCCGACACCCTTTCCGCCGTGCAGAGCTCCGAAGAGGACTCTGTCTTTGGGGAGTCGGGATGGTTTGCTTCTTCTCGTCCTCGTCGGGAGGGTGCGGAAGGCTGGCGGATGCAAGGCGGGGGCGGCTTCGCTGGCGGAAGCTGGCGGAAACCGAGGTTGCCCCCTCCCCCTCCCCGGCCTCCCCAAAAGAGTTGTTATTTAATCGCTTCGCTCATTCCGCCGGCCCGTATTGGTGCACGGCTGTCGAGTGCACGGTTGACTTGCAGGGTCGGCGGCTGTTTTTATCTAATTACCTTCGGCACATTCGCCACCGTGCTTGGGTGGTGGCTCTGAGGCTTCGTGGACGTTCATTGGGATCTCGTTGGATGCCTCTCGAGGGCTTCTTGGAGACTCGAGAGTCGTTGTCGAGCCTCTTGGGGTCTCTTTCGGGCCCCTTGTCGCCTTTTAGGGCCTCTCGGGGGGCTCTTGGAGCCTCCAGGAGGCCTCTTGGAGCGGAAGGCTCGGATTCTCAGTTCGTGGTCTCCATGTTGGGCCCCTCTTGGGGCCCTCTTGGGGTCCTCTTGGACCGTCTTGGGCGCCTCTTGGGCTGTCGTGGGGCCCTCCTGGGGGGTCTTGGGGCTCTCTGGGAGGCCTCTTGGGCCGTCTTGGGGTGGTCTTGGAGGCTTCTTGGGCCGTCTTGGAGCGTCGGAAACGCGAAAAGGCGAGGAGGCAAACGACCTTGCAAAACCCAATGGAAATCAATGGTTTTAGCGCTCTGAGGCTTCGTGGACGTTCATTGGGATCTCGTTGGATGCCTCTCGAGGGTGTTCTTGGAGACTCTCGGGAGTCGTTATCGAGCCTCTTGGGGTCTCTTTCGGGCCCCTTGTCGCTTGTTGGGGCCTCTTGGGGGCCTCTTGGAGCCTCCAGGAGGCCTCTTGGAGCGGAAGGCTCGGATTTTCGGTTCGTGGTCTCCATCTTGGGCTTCTCTTGGGGCCCTCTTGGGGTCCTTTTGGACTGTCTTGGGCGCCTCTTGGGCTGTCGTGGGGCCCTCTTGGGCGGTCTTGGGGCTCTCTTGGAGGCCTCTTGGGCCGTCTTGGGGTGGTCTTGGAAGCTTCTTGGGCCGTCTTGGAGCGTCGGAAAGGCGAAAAGGCGAGGAGGCCAAAAACCTTGACAAACCCAATGAAAATCAATGGTTTTGGCGCTCTGAGGCTTCGTGGACGTTCATTGGGATCTCGTTGGATGCCTCTCGAGGGCTTCTTGGAGACTCGAGAGTCGTTGTCGAGCCTCTTGGGGTCTCTTTCGGGCCCCTTGTCGCCTTTTGGGGCCTCTTGGGGGCCTCTTGGGGCCTCTCAGTTCGTGGTCTCCATGTTGGGCCCCTCTTGGGGCCCTCTTGGGGTCCTCTTGGACCGTCTTGGGCGCCTCTTGGGCTGTCGTGGGGCCCTCTTGGGCGGTCTTGGTGCTCTCTTGGAGGCCTCTTGGGCCGTCTTGGGGTGGTCTTGGAGGCTTCTTGGGCCGTCTTGGAGCGTCGGAAACGCGAAAAGGCGAGGAAGCCAAAAACCTTGAAAAATCCAATGGAAATCAATGATTTTGACCTCTTGGGGCTTTCTTGGAAAGGGTCGGGGCTTTATTGGGACGTCTTGGAAGCTTCTTGGGCCGTCTTGAGGCCGTGTTGGGCGTCTTGGGCCGATCGTTCGGTGATTCGGAACCCTCTTGGACCGTCTTGGATTCTTGTTGGGGCCCTCTTGGAGCGCTCCGGGGAGCGTGGAAGGCCGCACCCAGGAGTAAAACCATCTCTGACCTGAGTTTGCCGGGAGTGTCCCGGGACCTTGCCGGGGTACTTTTCGCCCAGGGCCCCCCAGGGGCCGCCCCGCGCGCGCGAACTAGAAGTATTGTTAAGTAGTTACCGGAGATCTTAGCACGCCTCTGGCCCGTTGGGCCGGCGAATTTTTGGGGAGGGGGGAGGCATCCTTTGCGACTTTCTCTCATGGAGCTGGCCATGAAAAGTCAAACTATCGCCACCCGAAGGAGCGCCAAGTGAGGAGCGAAGCCCTTCCTTTCCCCACCCTCACACAGCCCCTGGGTGCACGAGGAGCGCCGTAGAGAAACAGCCGCGGCCGCACCCGAGGAGCCGCAAGCCTCGTTTCGGCGCCTGTGGCTGCGTGTCTTCTTCGGCACCGCTCGGACGTGTGCACTCTCTCTTGGCGAGGACCATCGAGAAGCATCCTGGATTGCATCTTGCGAGCAAGAAGCGCACGAAGCCGATTGATGCACGGGGAATGGATATCGATTCGATTTTGGGCTCTCCCGGGGGAGACTCGCGCGGGCCTCCCGAGCATGCCGCTGTGGATGGTTGGTCTGCTGTGCCGTGGGCCGCTCTGGCAGCGCGAGGGGGCCGAGCAGGTCATTCGCTGTCCCTGGGCGCGTGGCTGAGGTGGGGTTCCGCGGTGCGGCTTCCTGTCGCGCTGTTTTGGTCGTCGTCCTCGCCCGCGACCCCCCGCGACCCACCCCGCGACCCACCCCGCGACCCACCCCGCGACCCACCTGCGACCCACCCGCGACCCACCCCGCGCTGCGTGAGAGGCGGGACGCGTGCATGCAGTACAGCTCGCGCGTGCTGCTTCCCACGTCCTGCAGCCCTCGCTCTTGTCCGCAACTGCGGGGTGCCATCGGGGAGCCGTGAGCAGAGAAAGCACTAGCCTCGCGAAGGGCCCTTACAGGCGGCTGCGCGTGTCACGCAGGCCGTGGCCGTCTGTCCTCGCATCCTGCGCGAT